TTTTTTTTTTTTTTTTTTTTTTTTTTTTTTTTTTTTTTTTTTTTTTTTTTTTTTTTTTTTTTTTTTTTTTTTTTTTTTTTTTTTTTGACAAATTTAATGTTCAATTTAATTTCAATTTTTATTATTAAGCCTATTATTTAGCAAGTTGACTTGTGTTTCAGAATGTCCACATAACAAGTGGTCTCCACCTAACTGTACCATGGATTGTGAGGTATGCTACAACGGAGGAGTATGTCATACAGACATCGGAACCTGTATATGTCCTTCGGGATTTACCGGAGCTAGTTGCGAAACATGTTAGTATACCAATGTCAATTATTTCTGTTAACTTTAAATGTAAACAGGACGTCAACAAATCAGAAATACCGGTATTATTATTACACAAATCTACATAATGCTATAATGGATCGTCTGTGTTACATAGACCTGTTACACATCAGAACGTTTTTGTCATTCAAGATTTGTAGGTAGTAATCCGGAAGGCACTAAAGGTTGTTGTTTCCCATCTGCGACTTTTTTCTTCATGCGACTATGATAACGAACTTTCGTTGAAGAGCTATGTTTGATACGCTTTATAACATCATGTTCCTTTATATTTGAGGACTGTATTATTATTTACTTGTTATATACACTATATATATATATACATATATATATATTATATATTTAATATATGTATATGTTTTTCAGCTCTTGGTGGTAATCGTTTTGGGCGTGATGGTCTAACTCCGTATAAAAGTAATAAGGATGACGGATGCAAAGGGAATCTGTTTTGTCCGCCTATGCCACAAGGTTGTGCCTGTCACGCTGGCTGGAAAGGACTTAGCTGTGAAACGGGTAAGATTACTAAAGGATTGAGATTTACAAAAAGTAGTCTAATAATCAAGTATGTTAAATGTAGATAATCTGTAATATTGGCTTTCCTGAAGTTCAATATGTTCAATATGTTTTATTCAATCTCAAATGGCAGCATTAGCGCTGAATTACATGAGAATACAAAAAGATTACAAAATTGAGAACATTAAAATTAAATTGAGACCTATAAAACTAGAAATATGATAAAATTCATTAGAGCAAACAATAAAATTCTATGTACATAATAAAATATCCAAACAACACAATGAATAACGATAAGATTATGATTTATATAAAATTACACATTGGTAGATATAAAAATATAACGCCGTGGCTAGAGATACGGTACCGTATCGGAACTTCCGATTGCTAAAGGTACGGTAAATGATATTACTTAATGATTAGCCAATAGAAATGACCGACTCGATTTTGGCTTTTTTGCAAAGTCGACGTCGCGATCATGAGAATCAAGTCATAAAACTTTTGGCCCATTTCATGTATTTCGATACGGTTTTAATCACTTACAGTACCATGATAACAACGGCGGCGGAACGTTTTTGAAAGTGGGTGGGGGGGGGGCTATTTCATAAGGTCCAGTATGCGAGCGAAGCGAGCATCTAGGCTGGGGGGCCAGGGGGCCGCCAAGGGCCCCCGGTGGGGATATTTTACGAAACTACGGATATTTTACGAACTTTGGTGAATTTTATAAGTTATTGTATAGGCATCAAGCTACTGTAATATGATTTCATATTTGTTGTAATTTAGTGGCCGATCCAGGAATTCGAAATAGAAGGGCACAGAGAAGGTACTTTCACAGATAGAAAATCTATACTACCTCAGCCCCACCATGATTGGGGCTGAGGTAAGAACATTTGTGATTATGGCACCTCTAGATGGCCGGAAATTGCACTTCCAGACATTAAATTTGAATATAATTATCTTTATATATCCTTTTTTTATTGAACAATTTAGGGGGTTTAGTGGCGGACCGGCTGAGTCCCTTGAATCCGCCACTGGGTACTTCAGCAGATGGAGAATCTATACCACCTCAGTCCCACCATAGTTGGGGTAAGACAATTTGTGATTATGGCACCTCTAGATGGCCGGAATTTACACTCTCAAAATTTGAATATAATTTTCCTTATATCTCCATTAAAAAAAAAACTATTACCCCCCCCCCTACCCGGCCTCCGACCCCCCCCCCCACCCTTGAACGCGCCACAGATTTCCGAACAAAGTCGATGTCGAGATTGCTTCCACGACCTCAATGGATTATTTATCATGAGGGTTATCCTTGATATGGGTTCCCCGACGAAAACTTCAATTTTCCCCCGATGGATAAAAATTACCCTTCTATGTAGCCCGGAAATGATACTCCAACTGTAGCGGGTCCAGGAAGTCGAAATAGAAGGGTTCCAGGGAGGGTCTTGCGCAAATAGAATGTCCACCCGCCTCAGCCCCACAACAATTTATGACTATGGCACCTCTAGATGGCCGGAAATGGCACTCTCGGATTAAAATTTGAATACAATTTTGTCTGTTTTCTCCATTTTTTTTTTTTTTATTTGAAAAAAAAATAGGAGGATGGGGTCCCGTGCTGACTGGGTTCCCCATTGAATCTACCACTGTTCAATATAACACTTGACATAGCCTATCATTTTGTTTCACAAATGATAAATTTCCAATGTCAAGCGAAAGATTTTTTATTCGAAATATTTTTTTTTTACCCAATACAGTTTTTACAACCTATAACACATTAAGTGTACTGTAAATTCTGTAGTTAACCTTTAGAGAACTTTAATTTAGAAAATGGCCTAATTAAGTATCTTATTGTTTTTGTTAAATTAGATGAAGTTTAAATGTGGTTATATTACGCTAGTTTTAAGGCTTACTGTAAGCCAATCAGATACACTTACTATACATCTTCGTAGTTAGCATAAAGAGAACTAGAGAGCATTGGTGAATTCTGTATTTAGGCATAATGGGGGAGGTAGACACTCTTAATGGAGCGACGTTCTATTAGATTGGATTTATTCGGTGTAAAAACCAAGGATAGCCCACGAAAGTCTAGAAGAAGACTTATTTCCAGTGGGGTCCTTCTGGTGGTGATTGGGCAGTACACCGGGAGACAATCCCCTACTCTTTTCCGGAGAGTGTACTGCGTTCTTTAACGTGCACATGCACATGCACGTCCATAATGCACACGGGACCAAATGCTTAAACGTCTCATCCGAAAGACGGTGCGCTATTGTAACTTGTATTTCAGCCCTCTAGCTGAAACACAAGGAGAAGCAGCGATGGGAATTGAACCGGGGATCTAGAGATCTCCACGGATCAGCGCACACACAGCGGCTACCACCAGATTAGCCGACTGAGCTAAGCTGCAGGCGATTTTTTCTTCATGCTCGAGGGTAGGTTTCAAGGAAACTTTACAGACGCACGTATACAGACGTCAATCAACGTTTGGTTGCTCAAGTCAAAAAGGGAGTTTGTAATGTTCGTTAGAAAATGAAAAAAAAAATCTATATTTTATAATAATAATAATAATAGGTCAATTTATAAGGTGCAAATAAACAAGGTGTAAGTACCAAATAATAATAATAATAATAGGCCTAATAATAATAATAATAATAATAATAAATAATAATAAAAATAAAAATAATAATAATGACATTGCAGCGTTCGTAGAATGTTTGTCACTGGTGTGGGGAACAGTCACAAAAGTGGGGAGGGGTGCCAGGCTAATGGCCCTGCCCCCCCCCCACTTCCGCCGCCGTTGCATGATAATAAGTTGTAAAGTGCCGCATTTAAAGCAGTCCTCGAATAGTTGCACAGGCATATTAATAAGAAGAAAATAAAGCATATATTCATGCCAAAACTAAGAGTAAAATTATATATTTTTTCTATCATATTGACCTTGCTTCTTACGCCTAACCAAATATTGTTACCTGATCGGACGTCGTCCATACAACTCCCTGGTAGTAGTAATCCTGTAGGAAACATGAAGTTACAGGCATAATCGTGACAAAAACACAGTTATGTTTTGTTTTGTTTTGTTTTTTATCGGCTATACAAAGTTTGTTCAACTTTATAGTTTGGCAGACAATCGGTAATTTTTGTGTGATTTCACCTATCCTATATTCACCAACTACCACTACCAGGGCTTTAAAGCCTAGAAACATTTATATTATATTAATAGAACACAACCGTCTACGACACGGTGTTTCACGCTTAATGCGATCCTCAGGTAGACTAAATATGACTCTGTACTACACATATACAGCTTTCAATCATCAGGTGGCAGATAGGTAATCTGTAAGGTAAAGATCTGAACTAATATCCAAATGCCGCCACTATAACAATAGGAAAATCTACCTACCACCTGATGATTGAAAGCTATATGAAGGCAATGTACTATAGTCATAGAGAAATTTAGGCAATTTCATAAAAAAGGAGGTATGCTAATAAAAATTACTATTTTCAAAAATCTTTAAATGCGTTTTTCTCAAAATGCACTTTTCCACATTCGCCACTACGTTATATAAGGGACGAATTAATCAACCAAAAATATTCAACCGACCTTATTTTGTGTTGGTCTTATTCTTGTTGGCGTGGCTGTTGATGCTTTGCTGTTTCTACTTTATTATTTATAGTAATATTTATAAACATATTATATTAAGATGTTTTCGTAACTTACTGTTTGCATATTCAGAATGCAAAGCTGGCAAATATGGCGCTGACTGTCTGCAAGATTGTCATTATGATGCTAGTGAGTGTAATCGTACAACAGGCTGCAATGTGAATGCAACGTGCAACCCTGGCTACACAGGCATAAGATGTTTAGGCATGGAGGAAATATATTAATATATCTTAATATATTTCCTCCATGGTTTAGGTAACACATATTTAAATCACAGCAATCAACTTGCTTGTTATCTTGGCAGAGCTACTGATTATGTTTTATCTTTTCTAACTCGATTGCTAATCAGCAAAAATATTAAATATTTCTTGACGGTTTGCATGGCGACTATCAATAACAAAATCATTAGACTTTCAGTACACCATGTGTAAAAATGTGGTTTTTGGGGTAAAACCACTGGTTGGTTGTCTCGACGTTTCGGTGAGATGAAAATGGTACGATCGCCTTGACTTATAGAGGCCCACCTCACATATCTCAACTCAGCCAACATCAAAATTTACCATAGTACACCTAACAAATGTTAGTGGATACTACACACACACACAAGGATAAACCATCGCCCAATAACCGTCCAGAGGTATACAGGACCCATGTGAATGTAGTAAAAGTCTACATTAGTGAGACTGATAGAGACCTCAACATCAGACGCAAAGAACATCAAGGTCATGGAAGACGTGGTGTATACCAAAAGTCATCCATCATTCTACTCGTCAAAGAAAATCAACAAATTCATTGGAAGGACTCTACGCTAATCGCTCCAGTACCTACTCGGCACTCCCTCCAGACAAGTAAAGCAATTGTAATCTACAAGCATAACACAGTTTCACTTGGGTTGATTATAGATTAATTTTTTTGTTTACACATAGCGGGTTTGCTGGAGAGCAATAAGAGAGAGCGCTAAAAAAGAAGATTTCAAGGGACTACGATAAACAAGAAACGCCGAGAAAAACCAATCAGTTTGTTTACCTCAAAAACCGTATTTGTACACAAGGTGTACCGACAGTTTATGATTTTTTTGTTGTTATATGAACATAATGGCCATTAATTTGTTTTAGCTACAGCAATTCCATGATGTTTCGTTAATTGGTTTGTGTCTAAATTTAGAATGTGAAGCTGGCAAATATGGAACTGACTGTCTACAAGATTGTCATTGTAATGCTACTGAGTGTCACCCTTCCAGAGGCTGTGATGTGAACGCAACATGCCACCCTGGCTACACAGGCATAAGATGTAGGTAACAGGCAATCCCAACATAACAATCCCAGTCAGTTTGCTTGATAAATCGCTGTTTCTATCTCGGTCTTTCTAATTGATTGTTTCTATTCATCATAAATCAAATTATATAAGTTTCTTAAATTTCATAATAATAAATACCTTGTGTGTGCTATCATTTGAGAATATTTGTGTTTTTCTCTAATTGGATGAACCCTGATGAAAGGTACTCTATTACTGAAGTATATGTGTGGAAAATATTATTATTAACTATCATTTGTAGGTCGATAAAGGTTTCTGACTTTAATTATTTATTTGCATGTGTTTAAGGTGTGGATAGGCGCAAATTGAATATGGTAGGTTTCACTCCAACTCCTGCTGTTAATGATACTGCAAAAACTGATATTCGTGGTTATACACTGGGAAACGACCAAACAACGAACATCACACTGAATATTAGGCCTACACTCTTGGTCAATCTGTATCATCTGTCGGAGAAACCTCTTTGTAATAATTCAGATTTAAAAGATTTTGCTGACGTTGATTGTACACTCAAAACCATTGAGAGTGCTTCGTCCACTTTCCGTAAAGCTGAAATTAGTTTCAAAATTACTAACTCCACTGTTGAAGCCCGAGTTGGTGTATTTACAGCTGCTGCGTACCCAAAGAAAGGTATTCGAAATGACACTGCTACAATCATAGTTCATCATGAAAATGGTAAGTTCATTATATTTTGTTCATATAGTTTGTGTATCAGCAGACAGCAAATACATCTTAATAACACCACAACATAATAATAATAATAATAATAATAATAATAATAATAATAATAATAATAATAATAATAATAATAATAATAATACAGAAAATGTTGTAAAACATGATATTTATGAGCTCTTATAATAATTCTTTTACAAATATGGACAAAAACTTTAGTTGTATTTGTCATATTTAAAAAAAAATAAATAGGGCCTAGTAAGAAAAAACTCATTAATTAATATCAAAATATAAGGCCGTTCTACATATTGTGAATATTGACGTCGAGTTGGTTTTCATGATTTTTAACTTCATCATTTTCCGTATGATTTCATTTTTGTTTTTTGCGTTATTTTAACTTAGACTTTTTAAATCAGCTTTTTTGGCAATATGGAAAAGCCCTATGTTCTGTTTTACGAACAGACATAGTAAGTCTAGTTATTATTACTAGATCTAGAGAATGAAAACAATTACTTAATATGTATATTTAAGTATAGTTACTAGCCTTTAATTTAACATTTTAATGAGAAAAACATTTCATCAATTAATGAAGAGCTAAATTATAACTTTTCCGCATTTTTTGCATTGACTCTTAACTTGATTAATAATCAATGGCCGTATTCGATGGTCGTTCTTCGTTAAAACCACCCCTACCTGCGCAGCGGTAAATCCTACTCAAACGAAGACGACCAGTCGAATAGAAAACTTGTAAATACTCGACAAAACAAAATGGCCGTATAGTTACCGCGATACACGTTGCTTAATCAAGATTGCTTCAAATTGTGGTAGTATGCGTTTTTCGTAAAAAAATATTTTCATCCAGTTTTTGAATTCTATTATCCTACAATTATTTTTTGACTCCATGTGGCTAAATATTATAATTTTTATTTTATGAAATTTAATCTAAGTTATATTAACGCAGATGTTGTTTATAAACTCACCAATCGGCCATGTTTTTGTGGTCACGTGGATAACTTAACGCTGATTATAACGCACTCTGGTTTACGTTAATTTTCGTTGTCAACGAAGTCTATTTGACGAATCAGTCGAATGAAAATAATACTCAACGAAAATTCGTATTCAACGAAATGAACCAGTCGAATAAGCCCAATAAAAAGGATTTTTTTACAGTAATTTAACAGAGTGATTTTTAAATCAAATAATATGAAGTACCAAACACTTTCTTTGTAAAATTGTTACTAATGACCTCATTACATACATGCCTACACGCCCTCTTCGTAACCCTCCACACACCACTCACACCAACATAACTACAGGCAAACATTCTTTGATTGAAAATATATATCTTGGTATCTTTATTTAACATAAAAAGTAAATGAAATCACAGTTAACAAAAATAAAATTATTGTAACATTAATTTACAAGCATAATGATATAATTAAAAATTACTTTTTACAAAACAACCACGATAGTATAATATAAAAAACATTAAAAATTATTACAAAAATATACATATTAAAATTGTTCCTATAGATTATTTTATTAATTAAAGGCCTATATTCAAATTTTCCAAAAAATTGAAATGACATTATAGATTAAACAAATAACATCCTAATAAAAATGGTTAACATCATAAAAAAATTAAGAAATAAAACCATTGCTACATTATAAAATCAAAAAACATTTTTTTAAAACTCAAATTAAATTTTTAGAGTTTAAAGAAATTATTATTTGACTAGGCGTTTAAAAAGCAAAGAAATAACTTACAGTACGTATTTTTATCCAAAGCGTCTGTAATACCGATTGTTCATACTAAGACCGTTAGTATATGGGATAGTAACGTTACACTTGTTGTCGATCAACGTAACGCAAGTATTGAAAACTTACGATGGGCGAAGAACGGAAATTATAACATAGAATGGGACCGCTTGAAGGAGATTTCGTTCGAAATTATTACATTGGATGATGCCGGGGTTTATGAATGTTATATAAATGACAGCCGGGACGAAGGAAAACACGCTTTCATGCATCTGATAGTAAGAGGTAGATTATATTTTATTTGAACTTCTACTACATGTTCATTCCTTTTAATATTCTGGTTAAAAGTCACACATAAGCGGATAAATGTCGGACTTATTATAAAACATATGAGATGAGTGGAAAAAGTAATGGAGTGCTGGCATTACGGGAGGGAGTTATAAAAGAAATAATGGATAAAATGAACTAAATGTTGGATGAAATATAGCTTACACTAATATATGACTGTGTGGCTACCTTAATGTTTGCCACTACGAACATGTTTTTTTTTTTTTTTTGTTAAGATTTGCCATTTTCATTATAATATAATGTAACTGGCAAATCTAAACCAAAAAAATAACATATAACGGAACGCTTTTATTTCGTTTTAGACGAGTTTACAAATTATTTATAAACTGTAGAAATTATTCAATTGTATCCTCTTTTGTCGTTGAATTTATACAAAACATTGTTTTTTTATACAAATTTTATGTTGTAATATATGAATTTCACTTTATTATTAGTATTTAACAAGTTGATTTGTGTTTCAGAATGTCCACATAACAAGTGGTCTCCACCTAACTGTACCATGGATTGTGAAGTATGCTACAACCGAGGAGTATGTGATACAGGCATCGGAACCTGTATATGTCCTTCAGGATTTACCGGAGCTAGTTGCAAAACATGTTAGTAAACCAATGTCAATTATTTCTGTTAATTTAAATGTAAACAGGACGTCAACAAATCCGAAATACCGGTATTATTATTACACAAATCTACATAATGCATGGAGCGCCTGTGATACATAGGCCTACTGTACATCAGAACGTTTTTGTCATTCTAGATTTGCAGGAAGTAATCCGGAAGGCACAAGAGGTTGCGGGTTCGATTCCAACCAGCGACCTTTTTCTTCATATGACTATGATAACGAACTTTCGTTGAAGAGCTATGTTTGATACGATTTAT